GTATATATTTTTTTTATAATTTGGGGTACCTGAGAATATATTTTAAAAATTAGGGGTACCTGGCAATTTTTACCACAAAATAGGGGGTACCTGGCAGCAATTTTTTGCAAAAAGATGTCTCATTTCAACCCACTCTAACTGCAATCTCTGCTCCAGTTGTTGGTTTACACAATTTGCCTCCACCTTCCTAACTTCAATATATTTTGGTAGCCTTCTCCTTGGCAAGAGAACAAAGAATCATCATTTGCTTTGATATTTCCTCTCTTTCCTCTTTGAGTTTTCGACTATTGCTTTCGAGTGCCACCACCTGAGCTTCCAAATCTGTTTCTTGCTTGTTTAGCTCTCCCAGTTCAATCTTTATTCCCTCTTCCGTTTTCAAAGATTCTTGGAGCAAACTTTTGGCCTTCTCAAAAGTAGACCATGGATGCTCACTAGTGTCCTTAGCTTGAACTAAGTCTCTCCATTCTTGCATTGTTCCAGGAAAAGTAGCTTTCAACTTCACAATTTCTTTCACTTGTCCATCACTAAACAGATAAAGATGGTCAGTGAGTGTAGACAGAGAATCCATCACTGCCGTTTCATGCTTTGAATCAGCTAAATCATCCATATTGTATGACATTAGTCTGTCAAGGATTTGTTTCACAAAAGTTTCATGTCTATTGATAAAAAAAGGCATTTCACATGTGGGAGCCTTAGATACCAGGCTGCATGGTGCCTTGACCAGTGACTCAAGAAAAGATTGAGCCTCAATGTATAGACACTCTATAGGATCAATAGCAACGGAAGAATCTGAATCCTGTTGATCAAAGACAAAATGATTCCTTTTTAAACAAAATCATATACAAATCATAAAACGAGCGAGGTCAATCTCATGCATAATCAAACATACTATATCTTTGGAAGCTGAAGAAATATCAACTTCAGCTTCAATCAAACATGTGTCTTCAACAAGATAACCTTCACTTTTATCATGAAATTTACTAAGCTCCATAAATGATGGCCAACCCCAACCATTTTTACCAGATTTGAAAGCGTGTTCAAGCTCTGCATAATGTGAAAGAATAAAATACTAGTGTAACACTAAACATCGAGTGAAAATGACTAGGCAATGATCGGAAAACTAAGATCACAAAACATAATAAGGTGTATAAACTAAGAGCTGCCAACAAAAGGAGCACACAATGTGAATGTTATTGTACTTCTAGTTCTAGAGAAGTGTACCTTTCTTGACGGTTTTGTTGGGGTCTATCTGGTTAACAATAGATATTCTGAACTTTGTGGGTATACTCCATTCTGCTGGTAAGCTATATGAATCAGCCACACGAAGGTACATAGACAAATGTTGATCTTTATTGGATCCTTTTGGATAAAGAAGCAATCTCCTGTGAAATAAAAAATGGATAACTCATCTTGATAGAATAATAATTCACTTAATCAAAATACAGAGTAATAATTTATAGAGTACTCCGTATTTCGCTATATGATGGCATACCATTTGTTCTCATTCACAACAAATGTGAGAGAGTAAAGATCTTTAGCTTCCAATAGCGAGAAATTTCCAATTCTCCACGTAAATTTTGTCATCAGATTATCCATTGAAATTTCGTAGTCTTTGAAGCTCTGATATGTTGTTCCTTCAATCAGCACATATCAACCAAATTAAAAAGTTAAGAAACAAAATATCTAATCAGATTTAACACCGATGCGCTACTTCCACAATTCTAGTGCTCTCATATCTCACCTAACAAAATCAAGCAGTTTCATATCAAACCAAAACGAATTTCAAATTTTTAGCATTTTGGAGAAAAAATTTCATATTTGTAGACATCATTTTCGAACAAAGCAGATACACACCACTGGTTCAGTGAGATTTACCAGAAACGAAAACCGGTGGTGGACTGGACGAATGAATGGGGAAGCCGGATCTCCGTGACAAATAGCAGCAATGGAGGTCTCGCCTCTCATTTTCCCGCCCATTTCGAAATGGTGTTGAGTTTCAGATCATTCATTCCATCTCGTCTCTTCAGTTCCCTCTTGCGGATTTTGAAATTTGGGAACTCCATTCTCATTATATTTGAATTTTTGGATTTCAAATTAAGTTTTCACCTAAATTCAAATTCAAAATTTTTAAGTTTTTTTCATATATAGAATTTGAGATACATGTTTCCAAACATATCATAACTTTAATTTTTTAAAATTAATTATTTTTGAATAATTCTTTTTTTTAAATTAATACTTCGTCTAATCAAATATGATTTGATCTGATTTTATTAGAGTTTGATCTGATCTATTTTAATCTGAAACGAATAAGAATGAGTTAAAACAAACTTGTAAAGTGGTAATATGTATTTTAAAAAAACACTCCCGATGTAAAGAAAAAACAGTTAACTTGATTTGTGTATTTGAAAATTTAATAGTGGGTATTTCCTTGCTACTCCCTCTATTGCTAAAATTGAATAGTCTCAACTCTCAATTACTTCCTTTGTCTGAATATAAATATATAATCACAAAAAATATACTCAGTAAAAAATACAAATAAAGCAAGAGATTTTAACATGTGGGGACCACTCTACTCCATAAATCTAACATTTTAATTTTAAACTTAAACTGAACTCTTATGCTATTCTCAAACAGATACTTTGTCAACTCATTCATCTTAAAGATTCGCGCCAAGTAACGACTTATACATAAAAGATGGATAAATTTGGGATTTGAGGTTTAAACATACACATAAAGGCTACCATTACAACCACCATAAGGTCTACGCCAAGTAGCTACCTCAAGTCATCAAGAGGGTCTTCTAGAAGAACCTTTTGTTTAAGATGTCATATCACGTAACTTTTTTCTTTTTATTTGGCATTACAATAAATAGTCTAGACGTATAACTTAATATTTACTTAATTAAAATAAATCATTAACTTTTACTTGTCTTTTTTTAAATAAAAATAATCCAAAGTTTGTAAAATCATAAATATTTATTTACAAATAATTGTTAACTTTTAGACCAATTTCCAAGGCCTTACAAAGAAACATCTTAGTATTTTTTAGTACCTAATTTTTTAATATCAGACAGGAATAGAGTAGAAGCTAAGAAACGTCTACATTTTAGATTCTATGCTCAAGAGTAATTACATTTACCAAAAAATCAATCACTACAAAATCCCTTTCAAGGTGTGAACAAAAACCGTGGGTGGGGGGATTAAAAGATGTATAAATCTAAATAGACTTGCTGGTCATAGAAAATGGCACGTTCAATGTTGACAAGTGGACAAAAAAAAAATAGATGATTGGATTTCAACTAAGCTACATTCTCAAATCTCAACAACAGAGTCACAAACAACTCAAGTGACAAAAACATTTAGTTTAGGGACATTATCTCCAAACAACATCAAATCACATATTTACTTCAAATTAGATAAAGACTAGATAAAAGAGTTGTAATATCACACCCAAAAAAGCATGATATATGGATGATTGGGTGCATTAGACCATCCTATTTTTTCTTTCTCAGGCAAAGAGATGTCTCATAGCAGCACACTTTGACTTCAACCTCTGCTCAAATTGTTGGTGTAAACAATTTGCCTCCACTTTTTTAACTTCAATTTTGCTAGCCTTGTCCTTAACAAGAGAACAAACTGTCGTCAGCTGCTTTGGTATTTCCTCTCTTTCTTCTCCGAGTTGTCTACTCATGCTTTCGATTGCCTCGAGCTGGGCTTCCAATTCTGTTTCTTTCTTCTTTATATATACAATATAATGTACTTACAAGTATAGATTTTTCGAGCTTTTCACGTAGTACTGTGTTTAACAGATTATGTTCTGCATTTTTCAAAATCCTATCTTAAATCAATTTTTCAAAACACAACTTCAAAGGAAATCAAACCCTAACCGTCCACATTGATCCAAAACTGAACATGAAAGTATGAAATATTTAGTTCTTGGAAAGGAAAACTAGACCAAACTCCAAATAAGAATTGCTATCCAAAATTTAACTGAACTAATCCTCCGTTTTCAAGAATAAATTAAAAAGAAATTTCAGAGCACCGAGTATTAACTGTTTTTATACAATCTAAAGTAAATCCATGGATGCAAACCTACATGCCAACAAGAATGGAATTGAAGTTCTATTCAACGCAATACAAAAAGATATATAAAAATAAAAATAGAAGACTCGATAAACTATGAAGTAATTCAATATTAGAATTTAGAAGAGTGAGATTCACCCAAACTGAATGATAGAAAAGAAAAAAAAAAGAGAGAGAACATCTGACTTGTGAGTCGCACCGTGTTCAGGTGAGTCAATCTTGCGAGCTGTGGTTGGCAGAAAGAAAAGACATATTAAATTTATATCATAATTAAATATATATGTTTTCATAATTTGTAGTCCAAGCTTGTAAAATATGACTAAAAAGTCAAAAAGAGGAGATTATTTAGGTAGAGATAACATATATGATTAGAAAAAAAATATAAAATAATATGAGGTATTGATTTGATGATAGATTGATAAATGTGATAAAACATAAAAAGAAACGTGGATAGTTAAATTTTAATTAGAAATTAATATATATCCAAAATATATTGGATCCGAAACTGAAATATATTCGAACCAAACTAGACTCGAAACCAAAATATATCCGACTCAGATTATATCCGAACTGAAATCTATCCGAACAGATTTGTAACCGAACCGTATCTGAACCGACTCGAAACCGAACCGAAAAATGTATAGAACCGAATCAAATCTGAACCGAAATTTACTGATCCGATCCGAACAGAACCGATTATGACATATTACCGAAATATATCCGAACTGAAATAATCCAACCCAGAATCAATCCGATTGATCCGATTGCTACCTCTACTCTCCGGGCTTGTCTTAGCCCGTAAAGAGCCTTTGATAGTTTGTAAACCCATCCAGCTGACTTACAAAGACTTCCTTTTTTAAATTTCCATGCAAAAATGCTAACTTAACATCAAAATGATGCAACTCCCAACCCTTTGAAGCAGCAAGAGAGATAAGTAGCCGAATTGTCTCTAGTCGGGCAACCGAGACAAATACCTCGTCAAAGTCAACTCCAAGTTGCACATAGGCTTTTGCCACGAGTCTTGCCTTGTACTTGTTTATCGACCCGTCAGCATTCCTTTTAATTTTATAAATCAATTTTAGCCCAATTTTGACGACCCGTTGGCATTCCTTTACTTCAGTCATACATAACAAATAACTTAAAATGGGACAAATAAACTGCCCGATTCTTTTTTTGGGTACATTAAACTGCCTCATTCTGTAAATCAAGAGTAATACACATTGTTTGGATGAAAAAAATCGGGAGAATATGAAACGAGAAGAGTCAAAACAAAGACCAAGAGAAAAGAAAATATATATTCTTTCTTGTTTTATGGATTAGAAGAAAATAACGCAAAAAAAAAAAAAAAGAAAACACATGAGAGAAAAGATTTAATGCAAGTGCACAAAGCAAGTCACAAATTATAGAAGCAACTTTACCATTTCATCAAGGCTCACAATAGAAGAACCTGTCCAATGTGGACTTTTATTCATGTATTTGAAATATTAAACCATACAAACAACATGTACACATAAAGGAAGAATAAACAGAATCTGTCTTTCAAAAGTTCATAATCTTGTTTTGATGTGCAAGACATTTATTTATTCAAGGAGCTTAAGAAGAAGAAAAATGGGAGGCCTTATTTAGATTGCAGAGTTAGGAGATCAGTGTCATTAAGGAATGAAGGCATGACTTGTATGGGCTCCATTATAAACCCACATTTCTTGCATTCTTCCTGAACCTGCTGCACTTGGGACGGCCCGCCTGGACAGAACGCAACCACAGCACCCCCACTCCCTGTAAACTTTGAGGCCCCACCCACTCTTCGAACCACTTCTACCATCTCGATGTTCAACGCACCCAGACACTCGTCCCCAAACATTTGCCTGCACCAAATTCCAGTGTTCGTGTCATAATATGACACCCGGTCCATTTGAGGGTCTTACGGTGCTCCATTCAGTCCCTACCCTCATCCCCTAGTCTCCCTTGTTTCGTTGATATGCTACTACCATATCAGCAAACCAAGGGAGAGTGAGATATTTGTGGGGTGGTGGGGGGG